AAAACTAAACATACGACATACGGCGTCAATAATTACAAGCCACATTCCATAGGTCAAGAAACATTTTGTGGAAGCTACACAATGCAGATTGGCCAGATTGAACTACTTCAATGGCTAAAGAAAAGACAATAGCATGACTCAAGCCTGAGGAGGCGTAAAGGCGTACATGATAAATGCTATAGCACTTAAGTAAGCTATGTCAGGGGAAAGCTGGTCAAGGAGAAATTGCCTTTGAGTTGAAAGAAGACATCAGTTCCACACAAAAGCTTTCAGGGCCGAATTTTCTGAAAAACAGAGGCCTGAAGGGCCCTCAGAAAGATGATTCATGCATCACTAAAGCAGGGCACATCAGCTGGCACCCAGAACTAGGAGCAAAGTATCTACAAGTTTAAGCACTCTTCTTTATAGTATTCCAGTAAGTTCCATTTTTCTTTTACCTGCATGTTGTCATGTGGCTCATTTTTAAAATATATTGTCTGATACACTTTAGATTCAGCACGCCATCCTGGGCAACACTGAACATTTTTTAATGGCATGAAATTTCAAAAGCAAAAGCTAATTTGTCTTCCCGACCAGGCTCCCCTAGTACCAGGACTTACCCTTCTTCTGGACCCTAACTTTTCTTTTGCAGAGAAAAGAGGACCCACTAGCCTTTGTTAATACCTTTGTGATCATTCAGTTCAAAATTAGGAAAGCTTTGTGAAGGTTTAACCTAAATTGTAGATCTTTCCTTTCTTCTTACTCCATTTAATATGGTAAAGCAGGGGTGTCCAACCTGTGGCCTGCCAGCCGCATACTAATTTTGTAAGAAATAATAAAAAGTATACAGGGAACTTTTTTCTTTCTTTCTTTCTTTCTTTCTTTTTATTTATTTATTTATTTATTTTGGCCAATCAGCTTTTCTTTACTGTTTGTGTACTTGCTGTGTGGCCCAAGACAACTCTTTATTCTTCCAACCTGTGACAGAAAAGAAAAAGGTTGGACATCCCTAAAGGAAGCACTATCCAAAGGTGCTAAAACCCTGCTGAGTAGTCACATTTTATAGGCAATGCAAAAGAATGGGCAGAGCCAGACACAGGAGGTGCTCAATGAAAGTAATACTTCCATAGAAGCTTAATTTTCCAACTCCTCCATTAATCTTTTCTTATTCTCCTTAAATTATCTAAAGTCAATAACAATGATTCCTTTTTGAAAGCCATACAGAACAAGGATGAACACTAATACCGTGATCTTAGATAATCTATTTTAAATCTTCTGATTCTCTGTCTATAAAAATGGCTGTTTGTACTGTCTCTTCATAATTCAGAGATTTTATGTGTAATAATCACACCTTTGTCTACAAGACTAGAGTAAGAACGCCACATATTATGATACGTGAGCCTCACAATAACCCCTTCGGATTGACAGTAGTTATCCTGGTCTCCAGTTTATAGGTCGGTATTACCAATATGCTCATCTCGAATTTCTTTTTCAATACTGCTCTCTGGAAGTTTAATAGAAAAAGAGAAACTGAGGTTGGTGAACTACTTTCATAAGGACTTCCAAAATAGTCTCCGAAGCCCAACCCTAAATCATTTAGCTTCCATAGTAAACAATGGAAATATTTTAAGAGTAAGGCAATGGATCTTTTTCCTTTTTTCTTCAGTGTTGAATTGGCACAGTTGAAATAAAAAGAAAATAGGCAGGCTAGAGTAAAAATTTTAAAGCATGAAAAATGATATGTCTTTTAAAAGTCAAATCTCAAATTGTTTTGAGAGGTATTAAGTCGGTATTAAGGTATTAAGTCGGTATAGGTATTAAGTTGGGGCAAGTCAGGGTACCATAGAATTTGATGTATATTTTCTCTTCAACAAATTTACCACATTTTTCTTATAAAGTAAGAATAAAATAATCTTAACTGCCTATTTTATACAAAACATACAATAGATATTTGTCTCATTCAACTATATCATATTTTGTCAATAACTTTGTTTTTATGTGCTATGTATATATACATACACATATAAATAAAGATATGTATATAAATAATCAGAATTGCCTATCAGGTAGTAGTTATATGTATGCAAGTTATAAACACATACATATATAAAAATATAAACATACATCATAATTTTTTTCAAAGGCCTTATTTACTCATATTATACAACAGTTCATCCTGAAAGGACTTCAGGTGGCAAATATTGGAAATTCATTCATTAAAATGAAAAAAAAAAAAATTGGGCAGTGCCTGTGGCTCAAAGGAGTAGGGCCCTGGCCACATATACTGGAGGTGGCAGGTTCCAACCCAGCCCTGGCCAAAAAATAAATAAATAAAAATAAAATTTTCTAAAAAATGAAAAAAAAATTGCCTTTACTTACAAATTATGTTACTTACAAATTATGTTACTTAAGAGTAAAAATACTCTTATTCCTTAAAGTAAATGCCATATAACATCCCTTGCAAACAATTATTTCCACCCTGATTATCCTACTCTACAGGCAGGGTCAATGTCAAAAAAATAGAAAGCAAAATGATTGAATTGAAAAATTATATCAATGCAAGGGATATTCATTTTTATGTGATAAGCTTGCTTGATAATAATCCATTCTCAAACCAACCTATATCTCAAGGGCATTTTGGGATTAAAACTTAATTTAAAACTTGGTAACAAAATGCCTTGAACTCCTTAAGAATAGGTCTAAAGTAAATGCAAAGAAATGAACAGCAACATCAGTCCCAGCAATGCATTGTATTTTTTCCTTCCCCCTAGTGAACACAAACACAGGGTGATTTTATTAGTCAATGAAGTATTTTTATTACATTCATAATAAGTTTTTACTTTTTACTGTGCCTCATTTCATAGTCATTATATCTCTTTGCCTCTTTGAAATAATTCATTTCAGAATGAAGCCAAGAACCGACATATATAAAACACACACACCCATATATTTAGTGAAGCAATATCTAAAATCTGTATTTTGTACATGAGGTTGAGTGAAAGTATACCGTGCATATGCGAATGTTCAAACATTCTTGATTTCCACACATTCCTCTCGAGAAATAGATCATTATTTTAAATATCAAAGAGTTGTAATATTTCCATATCTAAAGTGGGAAATCACTGCTCAACTGCGTTGTGCTAGTGCAGTGCTTGTTTCCATGGCAACTTCACTGTGTTGGTAGATTCACAGATTCACAGCCCTGGAAGGAGTTGGAAAGTATGTACCAGAATGTTCTCATTGTTCAATTAGGAAATGGAACTCCAGACTCCCAGACTTGTGACTTACCCCCATCGGCCTGTTAGTTACTGTCAGAGCAGGAAGTATAAGGCTGGTCTTCAATTCTCATTCCAGCGTTCCTTCAAGCGTGCCACACTGTTCCCACTGTTCTAACCACTGACACGAAAAGTGCATACACACAACACACCTTGCATATACGCTGTACGTATAAACACTGGTACACCCAAGAGTTTTGATTAGATCAAGCTATTTTAACAATCTATGCTTTTTAGGATTTTTAAAATATTACAAATAAAAATATTGGTTTTTATGGCATGATCATGGCAAGATGACTAGTTGACTGTGAATAATAAAACACCAAAACTATTGCTTAGAAAAGTGGGGAGATCAGCATTAGACAGTGATTTTTGTCTTTTTAGTGTCTCTAAATGCTTTACTAAAAATTCCCATTAATTTTACTGAAGGGGGGAGCATGGATGGAGGGAGGGTATTTGGTGGGACCACACCTACCTATGGTGCATCTTACAAGGGTACATGTGAAATTTAATAAATGTAGAGCATAAATGTCTGAACACAATAACTAAGAAAATGCCGTGAAGGCTATGTTAACCAGTTTGATGAAAATATTTCAAATTGTATATAAAACCAGCACCTTGTACCCCATGTGCATTAATGTACACGGCTATGATTTAATAAAAAAAAAATTGTACTGAGGGTGTCTGTTGCTCAGGAATTTATAATTTTATACAATAAGCCTTCAAAGGTATAAAGAAAAATTTTAACCTGGTATATTGGGAAAGTTATTTTCTGCCTTCAATTCACTAACCACTATTTTAAAAAGAAATATAAAATACTATTTTAAAAAGTAATTATTCTTAATCAAATTTTTACCTACAAATAACAGATTCTAGAGTCTAGATCTACTGGGCGGTGCCTGTGGCTCAAAGAGGTAGGGTGCTGGCCCCATATGCCGGAGGTGGTGGGTTCAGGCCCAGCCCCGGCCAAAAACTGCTGAAAAAAGAAAGAAAAGATAGAGTCTAGATCTGTGCTGCAAAACTCAGCCTCTAGCTCCACTATCAAGCCCTTCTGACTCGTCCAAATTGAGATTTGTTGTAAGTGAGAAATAGACAAGAGATTTCAATGATTTTGGCCAAAGAAAAAAGAATGTAAAAATACCTCAATTTTATATGGATTATAATTTTAAATGATATTTATGTAGCATTAATAAGATAGGTTGTTGAAATTAACATGACTTTTCTCCTTTTTCTTTTTCATGTGACTATCAGAAAATTTAAAATCACAGGTGGCTTGGCCTTTGTCACTCACATGCTATCCCAACTGCTCAGCACCAATCTCAACCATTCTCAAGCTAACTCTCCTGTATAAAATATCTCATTTCGCATTTCCTTAACCTCAGAAACTACCCTACATTGTCAATCACGGCCTTGTCTTTGAGCTCCCTTTTTGGATCTCTCCCAGCAGGAGGTAAGATTTCTTCTCTAAATTCCAATAACATTTTTCTTTTTACCCAGTCTCTTCTAATCGGCCTCCTAGGATGTAAGTTGGTGGCTGGGAGAGTCTGTGTGTGGTTTTATGTATGTTTGTCCCTTGCAAAACAACCACCATCCAGCATTAGTAAAGTACCAATGAGCTTTTATTAGACAAGTAAGTAAATAATTATGTGTAGTAAATACATTCTCTGTTCACTTTTACTCCAATAAAGCTGTTGAGAGATCAGAATTTTCAGAACTAGATCTGTGATTTAGTAAGAAGATACATACCAGCTGACTCTCAGATATTGTAGAAGACGGTGAGGAGAGATTTGCCTGCAAAATATAAGTATAGTGTTTATTTAGTACAATTCATAATTTAGTAAAACAGTGATATATTTTAAACATTTTAAAGTTCTTTTGTTGTTAAAGTAATGTATGCCCATTGAATGATTTTGAAAAGTATAAAGCAAAAGGAAAATATCACTATGCCACCAAAAATATGATTTTTAGCATTTTTGGTACATTTCCTTATTTTTTATGCATTTTTATTCAGCTCACATAATGTAAATATGATGTACATATGTTGTTCTTCCTTCTTATATTCTTAAGATAGGCACTATGACTTAACAAAAATTTTTCAGGTTTCCATATTTAATTTTTTAATTTTTAATATGTATATTTTATTTAAACATATAAGCATTGTTGATATTTCTACTTACAGAAAATTGAAACAAATAACATATTTTCTTAAAGTATTCTTATATCAAAATAAAAGCATAACACAGTTTTTGTGATCTGAAGATGCAAATGATTTGGGGTTTGAAACTGTGGCTTTGTATTATTTCTTCATCATTGGTCCCTGTAATTTCTTTCATTTGGATTAAGTTTGTTTCTTTTTGCAATTTTACTTGATTGTGAAAAGAACATTTGACAATAAATCTACCCTGTTAACATATGTTTGACACAATATTTATGACTACAGGAACAATATTGTATACAGATCTCCAGACCCTATTCATCATGTTTAATTGAAATTTTATATCTGTTGATTGGTAATTCCCATTTCCTCCTCCTCAGTAGTTTCCTTCTTATGAGGTAAATGCTTTGGCAGTTTTGGAGATTACTATCTTGGATATTGTCTAAAAATCTTTTTATTCTGCCTTCATTCTTGATTAAATATTCAGCTGAACATAGAATCTAGGGTCATACCATCTCTCAGCCTTTTGAAGATACTGTTCTACTGACTGGTTCCCGATGCAACTATAAGTCTAACCCTTACAACTTTGAGGATCATCTGTCTTCATATGTGCTTAGCATTTAACATTACCCCAAGCATTCTGTAATTTTAGTATAATGTGGATTGGGAGTAGATTTCTTTTTATTTATCCTTTTTGGGGACTTGGTTTGTTTGTTATTGTGAAGATGCACGTTTTCTGAAAAATCATACATGACTATCTATTCAAATATTGCCTTTCTCCCACTGTATCTAACCTCTGTTTATGGAGCTTTTATTAAATATACAGTCATGGCCCACATAAGGACATTTTGGTCCATGACAGACTACAGATAAGACAGTGGTCCCACAAGAGCATAATGGAGCTGAAAATTCCTATTGCATAGTGATGTGATAATCCTGATTCTGTGTGAGCCTAAGATAAAGTGTTTGTGTCTTAGTTTTTAACAAAAAAAAGTTTAAAAAGTAAAAAAAAAGATAAATGTCTTAACACAATAACTAAGAAAATGCCATGAAGGCTATGTTAACCAGTTCAATGAAAATATTTCAAATTGTATGTAAAACCAGCACCTTGTACCCCATGACTACATTAATGTACACAGCTATGATTTAATTTTTAAAAAAGTAAAAAAAAAGAAAAGTTCTAAAAATAGAATTTCCTAATGAAAGAAAATATTTTTGTGTAGCTGTACAATGTGCTTGTGTTTTAAGCTAATGGTTATTACAAAAGACTCAGAAAGATTAAAAAATTTGAAAGTTTATGAAGAAAAAAAGACAAATATTACAGCAAGCTAAGGTTAACTGATTATCAGAGAAAGAATTTTTTTATAAATTTAGTGCAGCCTAGAATAGTGTTTAGCAAAGTCCTAGGCCATCACATTCACTCACCGCTCACTCCCTGGCTCACCCATTTCAACTTCCAGTCCTGAAAGCTCCACTCATGATAAGCGCTCTAAGCAGGTACACCATTTTTTATCTTCCATACCGCATTTTTACTGTATCTTCCCCATGGTGAGATATGTTTAGATACACAAATACAGTAATAAGCTGTTCAGATTTGTAGCACAGGAATAACAGGCCATAGCATATAGCCTTGGTATGTAGTAGGCTGTGCCACTCAGCTTTGTGTAAGTGCTTTGATCTTCAGACCTTGATGAAATCACCTACTGATGTGATTCCTGGGAATGTAACCCTATTAAACAACATGTGACTGTTGGGCCTTCTCAATTCCTCACCCATTTCTCTTAAACTCCTTTTCATATTTTTGTCTCTTTATGCTATATCCTGAATGGTCTTTGCATATAAGCCTGAAAGATAACTAATTTCTTCAAGTATATAGCAGGATGTTTAATATGGCAATTAGCTTTACATTTTAATGATTTTTTTTATCATTTTAAATATGTCACTTTCCAGATTTGTTTGTGGTTCCTTCTTGCTAAATTTCCTGTTGTTAAATTTGTTGACTTACCCTCACATTTGCCCCCAGGATGTTCTTTATTCATGTTTAAATTTTTATTTTGAGGTCATCTTCAGACCAGGTAACTTTGGTGATGACTTCTTTAGATAGCCATGAATCCCTGGTCGTAAAACCATCCCTGCAATGCATTTGCCCTTTGGGGGCTCCCGGGAGTTAGTTCTGAACTAGTTACAACTTTACTGCCCATCCTGATGTTCCTGTACTTCGCTGGTGGCAGGTCCCCACGTTATCATGGTCTCACCTTCTCATGGGTGACTCTTTTTAGCACTTAAGAGGTTAGGGTAGGAATGGTGGAAAGAATTTATCTGTCTTCCCTTTCACTCTTCATAATCAATGTGGCCTTCTAGGGTCCAGAATAAGCACAGAGACTCCCTTTACTTATCTTAAACTTGTTACATCTTAGAAGTTACAAACTAAGCTCCTGGCTCTTAGCTCCTCAATTCCAAAGTAGCTTTGTTCTACTAGAGCTTCAGTTTCTCCTTAATGTTCCCACTTGGAGCCGCCACTTCCTTTATGGCATCCAGAAGTTTCTCGTTCTTTTAGGTTCGGCTATATACATATTTTTAGCAGTTAAGTTTTATCAAGTATTTCTGCATTTAGACCGGAAGTTAACCTTCCACAAGCAGCTCAGCCTTCACCTTTAACAGACAGTGGTCAACAGACAGATGCATACTTACAAATATACCTGGGAAATACATAATAAAGTTGTGTCTCTGAAATATTTCCATTTTTTGGAACTTGCTAATCTCTCAGAGATTCTTATGGATGTATCATTATTGTATTTACTCTCTGAGAGATTAACGGTAACTGGAAACTGAAAGCTCAGTGGCTCTTATGACATTGCCAAGTGTGTAGGAACATGAATCATCGGACATAATGACCAGCCCCTGAAGCCCTTCGGACACTGTGCCCAGCATGCTTTGGTTTCTGCCTTTGACTCATGCTATTCTTTGTGAGGACTGCCACTGCTTGCTGCCATTCCTGGTTGCTTCACGGCAACAGGGTGTCTTGGCTAAGTGCGCCCATGTCTCACTGCTATGAGTCAGGTTAGTGAGTACTGAGGTTTATAAAAATTGCCCTACAGGATGTTCATCATGGTATTTCTTTTTTTTTTTTTTTTTTAAGCAGTTTTTTGGCCTGGGCTGGGTTTGAACCCACCACCTCAGGCATATGGGGCCGGTGCCCTACTACTTTGAGCCACAGGTGCCACCCTCATTCATCATGGTATTTCTTCAGTTCACCAAAGGTTTTGTGATCAACTTTATGATGGAATACAGTGAATAATAATGATTTCTTCTAAAATCTTAGATTGTCTCTCTTCAACAATTTTTTTCTTACCGTATTATAAGAGCATTGTCTCAGAATACCCTAAGCTAAATGATTAGCATCTGTGAAGTAAATTAAACTGAATTAAATGTGAACATCTCAACTGAAATGAGATGTGGTTAAATTTTTAACCTCAATTTTAAAATGTATAAGAAATATAGGAAATAAAAGGTTATACATTAACAATAAAGTATTTGCGCAATTTAACTACATCACTAATGTTAGTGACACTTTACAATATGTTGTACTAAATGGTATAAATTATTGTAAGAGGAAAAGGTAAAATGCTCAAACAATAACTAAATCAGGGAAAAAGCTAAACATCCAGTCATCATAAATCCCTAAAATTCTATCACTGGGAATCATGACATAACTATAGGATGCATTAGACACCCTTGGACATTCTTATTTCATCTAATATTATGGATTCTATATCACTACTATGAAAAACTTTCCAGAGAAAGGGAAAAATTAAATGCAAATCTCAGGGTGGAGTAGATATATATAAAGTAAACACAGATCTCCCTTACCAAAGAGAAAGAATAATGATTTATATGTATTATCACTAAAAAAAAAAACAGGTTATTTCAGTGGACCTAGTCATGCCCAACCCTATGGGAAGCTTAGTACAGGTTAATGCTGTTCATTGTGTGTTGTGACAATAGTTGTGTTATTATTGTAGCAACTGCTTTCCAAAGTAAGGAAAGATTATGTTTGGGTGAGCTGAGATGGGAGCCCCAGGGGTGGAAGGAGGCTGTTCCATTCAGACGGGCTACCAAATGGTCCCTTAAATAAAGGGGGAGAAGCAATGGAGGGACCTAAAAAAAAAACCTGAACCAGATTTGAACAACAAAAAAATTTGGGTCACTCATCTCTATCCACGTAAATATTAACTGAGAAGAAAAAACACTGGAGATAAGCATAAGAATGGCTCCCATGTGAAAGAAAATTCATAATCTAATATAAATTTGACAGCCTTTGGCAGCATTCTAATTATGGAAGAAAAAATAAGAAAAGAGAGAGATGGCATTTTAGCCATTGTGCCATCATTTAAAAAAATTTTTTAAACTGATCAAGCAGTCAAAAAATTGTGAAAATCACAATTTCTTATTTCAAAACAAACCAGTTAAAGAATTAGGTTGAATAGAAATTAAAAAGGGATAAAGACTGACAAAAAGAAGTAAGGATTTGAAATTCATTGAAAAATAAACCTGCATACCAGGCACCACTTGTACCAAGCCAGCTTTGGAGAGACCATATTGTCTCCCCAACACTTGCTGCCAGAAGCACACCCAG